TAAAAACCAAAAATAAAAAAAAAACTTTATAAACAACATGCGACACGTTAATAGGTGTGTTGTTTCCTGGCAAAGCCCGATTTTGGGGGCCAATGTTTTACCGTGACCGAGTTAAACGAGATGATCCATTCAAGGAGCTACACAATTGCAGTGAGGGCAATCAGCCAAAATCATTCTGTGTCATACATTATTTTTTGGCTATTAACTTGACTGTGCCGTTACCAAACAAACTTTTTTATTTTGTTTTACTTTCTTTTTACTGAGAAAAAAATTTATATATCCACGCAACGCGTTGACAGCTCCACCTCAAACGTGATCTCTTCTTGATTCAAGGACCCAATCTTAACACAGCAAACACAACTCTATCCTATAACAAAACACGAGAGGTATACGAAAGATGCAGCGCATATACGCCTAGTGCTTACAAGCCTACGGCGTAGCTTAGAAACTGAGCCAAGGAGTAGGACTATACAATTTAAGGGTGGTGCAGTCAACTGCTTGAGCGAGTGCATGTACCATAACATCGTTGGAGGGAAAAGGAGCTTCCAATCGATATTTTAAATTCGTCTAAAAATATGAAAGTCGCTGTCTAAATCCGTACTCTCTCTCCCCCCCCCCCCCCCCCCTTCCTTTTATTTTCTTTCTTGTACTACAGAATCCAGAACGTTGTTGTTCGTCGAGTCCGGCAGCAAGAATCCCGAAAATGTGTATGATGGTCTCCAAAACCGTGCCCCGCCCGTATTTAAAAAAAAAAAGAAGAGAAAAAATAGAACACGTTGCAGGCCCGACCTTGTACTTCTGTTCTACGACAGTCATCCAAATGAGAGCCATTTCGATAGAAACTAGCGCGCCCTTTATGCGCCGTAAAAGCTGCGAATACTAGCAGGACAGAAAGTTGATAGTCCGCTTGTGCGCTTCAGCGATCTCTCGCGTCTATTTGTCTTTGAACGCTAACAACAAAAGCCAGCTGACAAACAGATATGCTCGTTTTCAATCGCTGACTGAGTTTCAAAGATTACCGAAAAGACACCTTACACACACATGTATCATTCCTTGTCCGCCTACCCGCGATCGCCAGTCACTATAGCCCCAGCCCCACAAGAACGACAAACAACAAACACTCTCCGCAAACACGCGCCACCACCTGGCCTTAAACGTGTTCGCCTTTGTTCTGTCCTCCGGTAGTGTTGGTCGTCTGCCTGCCTTGTGTGACCGCGGTTCTGATGAATGCGTTCACAAACGAGCCCAAACCGTTACCAGGGTTGGCTAAACTGCGGCTCCGTAGTAAGCGCACCCCGTTCCAACCCTTCCCCCCCCCCCCCCCAAAAAAAAAAAAAAAAGAGAGTGAAAAAAACACAGTTTACGTTTTGGCAGCCATCTGCCCCCCCCCCCCCCCCCCCCCCCTTACCTTGCAAAACAGAAACTTCTGTCCCTTGATATTGGAATCAACATACTCCATGTTGTGAAGGCACTCTTCTAATTAATGGAGACGGTAAGATCAGCACAGGGCGCGCGGCCCTGACGGATAAACACCTGAGTTACTCAGGAGTGGCTTTGTAGCGTGCTTTTTTCACGAATGGACACACACACACACACACACACACTGAAAAGGACACAATGAGCAACCGCTTTATGATTGGAATACGCTGTGACCACCAACTGAGATAAAGAAATAATAGAGAAAAAAAAAAACGGTCACATCCCATTTTAATACGGCCTTTCACTTAAACAGTCCTTTTTATTTCTCTCTGCATATGTCTGTCCGGTCACCCCTGCGTTAGACCAACAAAAACCAGCCTCCTCCGAGCAGGACAAGAGTTGCGCGTCCACGATCTCAGCCCCATCGGCAGAAAACGTATTCTCAAGAACGCTCGAAGCTGGTTACACAAGGAAGGAAACGCCGCGCTTAACCGTATTCCATCCTACGGATCAGGAAAGCGATAGCCTAAACCTAGGACGCGTTCGAATGAGTTGCTTTATTAATAGCAGTCCCGTTGCGGCGTGTGGTTAAAGTCAGTGCACCAATTAAGCGAGGAGCGATAGCATGTGAGGAATGATTCCCGGCTTCCTTTTTTCATTGCGCTATTATAGAGTATATTGACTCGAATCACCTTCGCAGACACGCGAGCTATAGTTCTTTCCAATCTTCCGCAACGACTCACTGTGGTGGGTCACGTTAACACGCAAATCTTTTTTTAATCGATTGACGAGCAAGCAATGTGGACATTGTATTGTTTGCCTACACAATCGTTTCAGCGAGGAAAGCGCTAGATTGAATTATATGAAATCACTCAACTTCGCGTCGGGTTAAAACTTCAAAATTAGATTTCGTAAAACCTGTTTGTCACAATTTACGCATGCACACGAAAAATAAACTGGTGTCGCCAAGTGGACCTAACCTTCTTCTCGAGTAAGCTTAGTCATTAGAACTCGAAATTCTGCTTTAAAGAACGCTGCCTGGGAACTTTATGACACGCGTCTCGCTTAGCACCTTCGGGTCAAACCTCTTTAGCTTTGATGCAGTGAATCACAAGCTTCCTCTGAGTGAATTTTTCTGAGACAGACGCAGCCCACACTGCCACCACACTGAGAAGAACGGCACTGAGAAGTCAAGCCTACACTTGAGACCAATTCCGCTGCGTGAGCTATACGAACACGCATCCTCGAGGTTCACGTACAGATCCAGCATCATCAAGGGCAATGCTCCCTCCATGACGCAGATAAGAAGTGCGATCCATCACGCATACGTAACGATAACAACAACAATAAATAACATTCCAATCAATGAGTTAACACCCATAAATAACGCACGACTTTCCTATGCCGTTTCCTCGGACGAAACTCGGAGACCGGTTGCGCAATGTGGGCGATCAATCAGTTGATGCCAAGGCGAGCGTTACGAAGAGTCCGGCGCGAGTTGAAGACGAGCTTACGCAACGTCCCGATGTTGCAGTTAGGGTGGCATCCATGTGACGTTCCATCGGCAAATCGCTTCCCGCTTAGCATTCCCCTATACGCACTCGCTCATTCGTATACGCCCAATGAATACTGCTGACTTGCCGAACAAAAATAGCGATAAAAACAAAACAAAAAAGCGAATAAAAAAGCAACTAAAAATGGCAAAAAAAAAAAAAGTACAGATTCAAGCAGAAAGAGACAGCGCTAAGATGTGATGGGGAAGGCATCCGTTGCAAGGGAGTAATTGCTATAAATTCCCCCCGCGCGCAATTCAGAGCCAGGTGCGTTGTACGCAGCAAGAACGAACGAGAATAGGCGAGGAGGAAACAAAATGTCAAACGAAAATATGTGAAAGTTACACAATCGCTCCGAGGCTCCTCCAGGTTCGTTGACGCCGTTCTGTAAGGCAAACCGGCCAATATATTTTTATTTATTTTTTCTTTGTCCTACGTGAACGTTGAACTATTAACGCCTTTCATTTCACGAGATAGTCACCGAAAGAAGCACATGGGTGTATCTTTTAAATGACAATTCTTCGGCACGCGGTGGTTGATTTCCGTCGTGCTATTGGCTGTGTCCTCACGCTCGAAACTCACAAAACGCCAAAGTATTATCGAAGGTAAGCTTTGGCGTCTTGTGAGTTTCGAGCGTGGTGTGTCAACAGAAAGACCTCCCTGCCGTTCTTACTCTGTTAGTGACTTTAGTGACTTTAGTTACTTAATTTTGTTTAAAAACTGTTTTCTAGGGGAAGGTGGTTAGCAGGGACACTTGTAAGAGTACTAATGCTTAACGTCTCGCCAATATTGTAACTGAGAAAAAAGTTGGGCCCAAGAAAAGAACAAGACTTTCAGCGAGTGGTACAGCTGATTTTTTGCATGACTACGCACTTCGATCAAACCTGGACTGTTAAAATCGCTCTTAAGTCGGCGTTTCTTGTTTTGTTTTCTTCTTTTGTAGAAGTGGTTTTGAATCTTTTAATTATCACCCATTGCAGCGAACAGACGTCATCGATAATGCTTAGAAAACCGTTGACTGCAAGATGACATTGAATCCTAATGACATATGCATGGTACATGCATATGTTATTAGAATTCAATATCATCATGCAGGACCAACGGTTTTCTTAATTGATACAATGTTCCGTGCATGCATTAGGTACCAGTGCTCTTTCTTCTTACTTTGCGGTGATCTATGCCATAGTTTGTTCATTTCTTTTTTGTTGCAAACTGTGTGAATGTGCATCATTTTAAAGACTTCACTGCTAGTGGGCATTGCCCATTTAGCAACCAAACGCTGCAGTAGTCTCCTATATATTGGTTGTCTCGATTGCGTTTATAACTTTTATTGGGGTGTGCTTCCAACAGTCTGTATCTTTTAACTCCGAGATATGGCAGTCCCCTCTTCTTATCACCGCAGTCGGTTTCTCTGGAGTGATGACGTTTGTGGAGATAATCTGTTTTAAGATACAGAAGTACGATAATGATGTGTAGCTGATCTTGATGAACTCCCCTGACGCACGAGGGACTACTCCTAGATACCGTGTCGACGCTTTTTTTTTTATATACTAGATACAGTGACGGCGCAAGATAGCGTGTCGGCGTAGAGGAATAGGGGGTAAACAAACTTAGCTGCTGAGATTCCACACGATGAGGAAGTCTACAAAATCGAGGCTTGAGTGGTCACAAATACGATAAAACAATATTTTGTCAGTAGAATAGTTGCGGACCTAGAAAACAGCTACTTAAACCTACCGAAAACGCGGAAAGGGTTTATAGGAAGGTGTCATACCCTTGGCAGTTTACCGTCGAATAAAGGAGACAGAATTTGCGTTACCTTTTGCGAAAGTTAAAACATCTGTAATCCCGAGCTAGCACAAAATATATTACAAAAACAAAAAAAACCAGCTTGGCTTTTCTTTAGCATAGTCAATAGAAAATCAAGTAAATTCACCCGGGGTGCATGCAGCCACCTTAAACGTTACCGCCAAGTCAGACGTAACACGACCCCCAAAGCGCGATCGACGCCGTCACCATTCGGCTTACCTGAGCAACAGGCGTCTCTTCGTTGGCGGCGCAAACTCCCGACATGATGTGGAGCGCAGCTCGCTACAAGCACAATCTCGTTGTAACAAGAGGTCGAAGCCGAGCTCGCGACAACTTCACGTTGTACCTGGGTGGGCTGGAGAACGGACTCGCGAAGGTTCAAGGGTACTCCATGTCAGACGAGGCCACCACGCACGCACACCGGCAAACGACACTCACGCCCAGAGCCGGGCGAACACACTTCACACCCCAAAACAATCAACCAAGGCACCTCTGTTACCTTATCAACAACGACAGAACTCGTCTAAAGTATTACGAAAGCCCGCACTCCGTCAATTTCTCGTCGTCACAACTTGGGGGGGTAAAAGGGTTTGGAAATGCAGCGAGAACCAAATCACTTTAGACTCGGGTATCTTCACGTAGAGTCGACTGGGTTTCCATGTTCAATCGGAGACTCGTGTCAGCGACGACATGAAGCGCGACGCTGGACGGCTCGAGTCGACTCGAACTTGATTCGACACGGCGAGGAGCACGAGACGACGCTACGAGGTCGACTTGCCGACGACGGTAACAGAGCGAGCTAGTTCGCACAAACGTCTTTTTTTTTTTTTCCTTTTTTTTTCAACTTGACGCACGAGTTTTCGAAAAAGTTGGGAACAAGACGACCAAGACCGATAACACCGGTATCACTCTTTGCACAGGTGAGTAAAGACGATCACTGCTGGTGAAGAGTGAGGGGGGTCGATCACACGCACGCTCGCCGGGACGCCGGCGAACAACTGGTGACTTCGTGGTTGGCTGGTTGCCTGGAGGCGGTTTCTGATGATGCAAAGCACGGCGAACTGCACGACCGCTCGCCACGGAATGATCGGTACGACTGCTTCGCTAGTCGACGGTCCCGATTTTTCGTGTTTGTTGGTGTATTTTTTGCTTTCTTCTTCGCCAGCTCGTTCCTCCCCCTCCCACTTTACCAGTCGCTTTTCCTCCCCTCGATACAACCCTCCTCGCCTTCCTCCGCCACCCTTTCTGCCGCCCTCTTCCTCGCTCGCTCTCTTCTGACGGACTCCGACGACCAAACGACCGAAAAGAAAGACGCCAAATGAGAAAGGAGGAAGGATTCCCTTCGCCTAATCGAAATCTCTCCTCCAGTATCTCTCTCTTTCTGTCTGTACCTCTCTGTCCGATATACCTTCTCCGTTTAATAGTAATCAAGTATTGAACGCACTGCTTACATTAATCACTAATCGTTCCCTTTGTGTGTGCACGTTTGCAGTAGCATGAGTTTTTTTAGCAAGTAAGGGTGAAGCGACGACTAAGCTCAAGTGTCAGTTTAGGACAAAATTTACTGCAGTGACTGTAACTCTGGATAGTAATGTAATTGTGTTGAGTGTATGCTTAGACCGTAGCAAGTTATTCAGCATCAAACAACAAAACAAATTTGACGCTCGTGTTCATACATCGTAAGGTCGGCCTGCCTTTGAGGTGCAGCGACACTGGTTTACAGTGTAGATAAGAAATTTAGCCAGTGCAATACGACTGCTAGCCTGGGGTCTTCTTGCATCAAGCGGTAGTAATACACGACAGTACGCCGGTAGAGAGCTCTACCAGGTCGAAACGGGCGGGGTTTGGGCATGCAGCGGGAATTTTGGTCCATGTGATTCTAGCTGCCACGGACTCCCCACTCTGGAGAAAGAGAGAGAGGAGGCGTAGGTCGACAACGGACGAGGATGTGTTGTTTACGTAAACAACAAACACAAAGGTTGTTGATGATGATGACGTGAAGCCTACTTCCCCGTGAGGTTTCGCTTACATCCCCGAGTCAGGACTTGGAAATACAAAAATGCATATCGACTCCCTGCTCAAAGCGGTAGGATTCTATCGCGTGGCGACATGCGAACGGACAAAACCTCGACTTCGAGAACCACAGCGTTCAAAACAATTTTGCTGCGACTACGCTGATCAAACCTAACGCATTAATGTTCGTAGTTGTCACAGCGAACTCACGGTACCCATAGGGATAATCAAAATATACACTCGTCGTACTGAGTTATTTCACGAAAGATTATTCTTAGGGGGGGGGGGGGGGGGGTACAAAGTATACTTCGTCAGATCCCACAATGGGCTACGAGTCAAATAAACGCGCGGCCGGGTCCAATCATGAGCAGATTAGAAACCACGCGATGACATGGCTCCAACGTGCGTATCAGTGCGTGCGTCTCGGTGCACCTAGAGCCACTAAATGAGCTGTGCTTAGAGTATCGGCACTCCGTTCCCCGACATTGTTGTGGGCGCCGCCATTTTGGGGCTTGTGCAGAGCAGACTGCCGATCGTCGTGATTCAAAAGTGCGACTTCCTCAGCATTAGATTCGGTGTCAGGAAGCTCATGTAACATTGCTTTGCTCTGTCGCGAACTGTTTAAACACTTGTGGAGAACGGAAAAGCGTTTTCTGTGATTTCAGATAAAGCTTCAGACTACAGGCAACCATGATTTTAAGCCACAATATGGCCAAGTATCGTTACTCTGAAGCGTAGCTTATTTAGTGACACTAGGTGCACCGGTGCGCACGCAAGTTCGTCCGCTTCTTGCTCAGGGTTTTCACTCACGTCAGAACGCCGCGCTCCGATTGGCTCTGACGGAGGGATGCAGTGGGTATAGACCTCAATGCTAGCTGCCTCGGGGTCTATCCGCCAGCCTTCCAATCGGAGCCAATCAGAGCACGGCGTTCTGGCGTCACCGCAACCCCTGCTCAAGAAGCAGACGACGAACTTGCGCTCCGTATAGTTTCTATTAACTGGCTCGTGAGTGGACCTTGCAGCCTGTAGCATCGGCCTTTAGTTCATATCGTATAGGCTGAGACGAAGTATACACCGACTCAACCCTCTGACGTCACGTCACTGCGGTGGCGCTGCTGTCGGCACTGCGCATGCGCAGAAGCTTCGCCTCAGGGGAATGCTGAGGTTTCTGCGCGAGCGCGCAATGTTCACACCTGATGTGGGCAAGACGCGGACGTGTCAGCTTTTTTTTTTTTTTAACAAATGCGTACGTTAGGCCATTAGGTTCGGGCTTCTCGCTTCCCGATTGGTTCCTCGGTGTGGTCATCGGCAAATGCCGCAATCTGATTAGCTGCGGGGCCGATAATGAGGTGCTCGGAACTCGCCACATCTCTCGAGTTTCTGGATCTGTCAGATACCTTATAGGCGATGCTCAGTTTCTGCGTCAAAACAGGCGGCCGCACTGATCGCGACTCTCATCAGTTGCGAGAAATGTGGCCCAAGGTGACGGGAAGAAAGCGCGAAATCTGCCCACTGGGACACTATAATCTAAACGCATTGAAAAAAAGAAGTCGCCGAGGAATTTTGCGGTTGCGATTGGCCAGAGCCGCACTTGACCTTGGCGCGTCGTCTTTTGCGCGTTTGCTCTCACCAACTAAGCTAATCACGCAAGAAAAAAAAAAGCACAGGATATCGTGGAGCACTTAATGTGAGTGATTGGTTTAGACGACGAGAGTAAAACGCACAAAGAAGACGACGACCGCCATTAGGACACACGTTTTGCACCGCTTGATCAGCTCCGTTGGTTGCGGTCGGATGTGAAACGTGAAACGGTCGGATGTGCAATGTGAAACGGAGTGTATATCGCCCAGAGGCTTAAAGACGGCTGGGAGGGCCTTCAGATTTTCCCGGCTCCAGCGCGAGCTTTCTATACCTTCGATAACCGCAAGCATGTTGACCTGCTTGATGAAAGAAGAACACTTTCAATAGTTTGGCCAAGGTTTTTTGTTTTGTTTTTATTTCGTGCAACGTAGAAAAAGAACGGTCCACGCTACCAGGTGTTACTCGCTGGGTTTACATGGATGCGAGCGTAGCGCGTCGAATCGAGATTCGACTATTTTTGATTGGCAGCATAGATGGGTAGAAGAGAAAAAAGTATAGAGAGTATTCAAAAAAAAAAATTGGGTTGTGTGTGTGTTTATACAGCCTAGAACTTGGTCTGCCTCACAGGGGCGACGAGTCTCCCAGCTGTAGATGAGAAATTTAGCCAGTGCGGTACAGCCGCTAGCCTGGGGTCTTTAACGTGCACCACGCATTAGTGATACACGACCGCACGCCGGTACGATGCTCATCCAGATCGAAACGGGCAGGGGTGGGGCTCGAATAGAGAGTATTCACTGGCGGCCATATCTGTGTGCGTGGTTGCTGAGCGCGTGCTGACGTCGAGCTTCCACAGTTCTTTTGCTACGTGCATTCCGCACCCTCAAGATTGCCGGTCTTAGCAGCCTATTTATATGAGCTCGTTCTGAGCATGCGCCCTAAACATCGCGCTCAAATATGGCGTCCAGTGAATGCCCCCTGTAGGGAGGCGGGGTGCGTGTGACTGGTCCCTGCTCGATTCGTCGCGCTACGATCGCATTCTTGTACTGCATTTGAGGAAAAAAAAACAACACTTAAATCGTCTACATTTAGCAACCAAAATCACAAATACCGATTTTTTTTTTCATTTGTAACACGGAGGTTGCAGAAAACCATTTTCAATGTACTGCCGAACCTCTTGCTTCGAGGAGCGTGACGTTCTGTCCAGAGTTTTCGGAATCTCCGTTCTCGCGCATCTTCATCGCCTATCAAAGTTATGCACGATCACTTTCGCTATTTTCAAGAAGTTTAGAAAAAGACGTCACGACTGGTGTTCGTGTGGGGGAATATTAGCGGCGAGATGTTTAGGTGGCGCCCTCCTATGGTTCCCCCTTGTGACGTCATTACCTTGCGAGCAACAAGTTCGATGGTGTTTGTAAATAGCATAGTGGAAGCCTGAAATCATTGCGCTCTCTAAGCAACACTGCCAACACCGTCGAAATTAAAGCTCTTTCATTCCTCTTATTTCCGTCGATGGTATACCCTTTCCGACGTCATAGTCAGCTTTTGGGCCAATCGTGGAAGGCCGACCGCAGCGACGCTTTCGGTCGCGCACGTCGCCAATACCTGGCAAGCTCGCAACTGCACGCGCTGTCCACACGAGCAGCACGCGCTTGGCGGCCCAAAGATCTACGTATGACATCACTACTGGTCGGAGATCTTTTCTGTTTCCTCGCGTTTAGTCACGTCTTCGGGAAAACGAACATGATGTTCAGATTCACGGGTTAAAAATGCTTTAGAATTTACCTCTATTGGCGATGTGAGCGATCGAAAGCGTCGCTGTGGTCGGCCCACCACAATTGGCCGAATGCTGACTATGACGTCAGGAAAGGATGTTTCATCGACGGAAATAAGAGGAATGTAAGAACTTCAACTTTGACGGTGTTGGCGGTATTGCCTTAAGAGCGCTATGATTTTAGGCTTCCACCATGCCCATTACACACACCACCGAACTTGTTGTTCACAAGGTAATGACGTCACGAAAGGTAACCAAACGAGGGCGCCACCGAAACATCTCGCCGCTAATACTTCGTCTCAGCTTCGCATGGACTTCGTCTCACCTTAGCATGGGGTTAGCAGCGCACGTTAAAAGCGCGAGCTTGTTGCTTTAGATGAACCCTCGGCAGCCGC